CTGAGACAGCAACTCAGGGTTCTGTACACAATAAAACCCTCATTCTGGTGACACTTGCCTTTTACCTCCCATCTGGCATTCGATCTGATGACCGTAGTGATCCGAGTTCACCCACTAATTAGACCCCTACAACTCCCTCTTGTGATTGGTCATAAGGTAACCTTGGAATGCAGCCATGTACGCGTGTCCTGAGTAGTTAATCGACTGCAAACAGACGGACGTTCGCGAACTACTGACGCGAATTCAACTTTCCAAAGATGGCACTTGATACGACTTAAGTAGCAGTCCGCGCTCTGCAGGCGCGTTCAGGCAATCTATATTCATCAGGACGAACCACAGAAAGATGACGCAATGTAGTCCAGATTCCCAGAAATGACCAAAGGGGGAGGGAAGGGTGAAGTGAGGTGGGGGCAAGGAAGGCTTACCATGACCTCAGGCTGAAGCTTCGATGGCAGCGGTTCCACATTCTCCTTGTTACTGTCCTCCTCCTGCTGGATCGCCGCCGAGTCAGTAAGATCCTGGAGTAGGCGGATGTTAGGAGGAACAGAGAGAGCCTACCCCAAAGTCCTGCTCAATCAGGTCGTAGAGACCGGGCTGCTTAACAAAGTCCTTCTTCTCAGCCCACAGATTACCGGTCTTGTCCTTAAACTTTTTGGTGAAAATGGCAAGTGCCGATTCGAGGTTGGAGCCGCAGGGAATGAGGTTATGCTGACGTGTCTTGCCCACTCGGCCCCAACGGAACCAGACGGAGTACACGGGCGCAGCATCGTCCTCTAGCAGCTGACCCATGTAGTACTTGTTGTTGTTGTGTTGCAGATTCGTCTGCAGTAAAAGTTTTTTAAAAAATGGACATTTGAGTAGACATTTGTGTCAGGAGAAGTATGCAACAGAATGTGAAAAGAGCGGGGGGAAGAGATCCCACTGAGGGGATAGCAAAGTCGTCTGTATGAATGAAACCGTCGGATGGAGTTCCGACTGGACTTATCAGGAAGGATAGTTTAATGGCATCATCACAGCAACCCCAAACTGCAGAATTCCGTAATACCTATAAAAACTAGTCGAATATCACTAAAGATTTCTGTGTGGGTGCAATGTAATATGTGGAAGGACTACGTCGAACGTTTGCGGTGATTGAAACAGCTGACGGCAAGGTAGTAAAACAAAACACGCCTACTACTACTACTAC